ATAACAATATTCTTTTAATCTTAACATCTACAGCATTGTCTCACAAAAAGATGGTTCCTCATTTGAATCTCTGCTATGTCGAGTTTACATATTTGCCACTTAAATGTTGTTGGGTAACCTCCATATTGTTGAAAATCTTGTATCTCACCCAAGGCGATTAAGTTTTCAGTTGAAACAATTAGATTGAGGCACGTGCAACATCTGAAAAGCATGCCTAATGGCCACCAAGATGTAGAGTCCATCCAATTTCCTAATGTAAGGCTTTCAGTTTAATAAAGGCCATATCCAAAAGTCAAGTAAAGTTGTGGGCATATTTATGCCTTTCTGTCTGGGTGTTCATCCAGCCGGCCAGGCTCAATGTCATGGATTACAATGGAGAATGGATTATAAGTGCATTAGCAGAAGGAAAGTGAGAATTTTGGGGTAGATTCACTCTCTTACAAGTCACAGTCATTCTTAAAGAAGGAGGACTTGCAAAAAGAAACGCTTCAAAGAGGTACATTCAAGGTACTAAATCACAACATACTCACTATAAACTAACCAAAATGGAACAATTGAAAGACTAACTAACATATAAAAACAAACCATCAAGGAGAATCACTATACAAACACACTATACAAACTATAAAAATTAAACTAGAGGCCAGGAAATTACAGAACAAAAAGTAACACATACACAGTGAAGTTCAAACTGTCTTGCAGAGCTTTGCGAACAAATCTTTGCTGCATTCGTTTGACTTTATGATTGTTTCACATTTGTTCTGTTGGGTTTTTATAGGCCTGTTGCTTTCCTGTGGAAGTCTATAATCAGGTATTGCTTTTTTTGTGTTGTCTGTTTCCCTGTCATTGAAGATTGGATAAACTCCATGTGGCAGAAAAAAAGACTGTTTGATGCAGGGGTCTCAAACTCCAGTCCTCGAGGGCCGCAGTCCTGCAGGTTTTAGATTTTTTCCTGCTTCCCGCACGCTTGATTCGGATTAAATTGGATCTCCTCTGGACATTGCTGAGCTTTGCTAATGGCTCTGTGATGTGAATCAGGTGTGTTGAATCAGGGAAACCTCTAAAACCTGCAGGACAGCAGCCCTCGAGGACTGGAGTTTGAGACCCCTGGTTAACGATTCTAGTAGGCATGATTTATATCAGCTTCAGCCATGGCATTTGAGTATTTTAAAAACTATTATTACCTCACAGTTTTGAAAGATGACCTAAGTCTATTATTACCCGTCCTGTGGGGACAAGGGTGCATAATACTTGTGTCTTTGGGTAAATAGACATTCAATATCATTTAACCCTAAAAGTTATATATGGATACATCTAAGTTCCTGTTTCTGGATTTCCTCACAAGTGATCTTTTTGTATGAAACATTTAAGCCCTTCATCTAAAACTTTAATGAACAAGCCCTGCCATAAATAAAGATTTATGAATAAGATCTTTCATGTTGTAGATTACTGCAAAATTATGTGTATGTATGTGTGCATATATCTTTTGATTATTTTTTTAAGTATTATTTTTCTAAAACTAAGGTAATGCCTTTACATGGGAGGTTTCCATAAACTGAAAAAAGACTAACACAAGCTTGTATGTTTCTATGTGTATAATGATTATTGAATTTTTCAAAATGAGCTTTCCAGACATCTAAAATGACAGGATTTTTACAAGCAAAAATGACTAAAAATATTAAAATGGTTTGCTATAACAAGACTCCATGTATGGGGTTAACTGTAGTCCGTTGGATTTCCGCACTTTTTTGAGGAATTTGTGACGATTTACTTTGGAACCAATAGCATTTAAGCTCATGTGACATCTAACCAATCAAGCAAGGGAACATGTTTCAGCTGCGTATAAATCACCCCCTCCGAACAGTACTCGTCATGTATCTCTTATACGGGACTCATTAAAGTCCGTCAGTAGGAGCGAACTAAGAATTTTTCTTCTTCCAAAGCCGAGAAACATTACTCCCCCACAACTCTCTTTTTTGTCAGTTCAGGAAACATGGTAAGTATGAAACGTTTAGTTAGAATTTGTCCTTTGCCTTGTGAGCTTAAGTTGTCAAGTTGTTTAATTGACATTAGTTATGGCGTTAGATAAGATCTATCAATTAAACGACAGTGAGGTTTTGCTAACTTGGTTGTGAGATTTTCTATGTAGGTTTGCTTTAATTTAGCAAGCCACAGCCCAAAATCAAGTTCAGCCATGGGTGTGTTTCCGGCCTTCTGTGTGCACGTTAAACCCAGCTAGATGGATTCACTGCCTGTGGCATATCTTTTGTTTCAGCATCTTTTCAAATAGGCTTGCTGGGCTTTATCACACTTTTGTCAGTGGCTTTGCACTCGGACCCAGCTGCATTCCCCCTGGCTTAACAGTTGTTTCATCTTTGTTCTTTTATAGAATAGGACAGCTACATTGATGTGGAAGAGGTTAATCAAAAGAACCTGTGTGCTTTGTTGCACAGCTTTGATTTCAAGATATTTGTTGCTCAAAAGGGATTGTCATTAATCCTTGGACATTATGTTCCACCCTCAGGGAATTTCAATTCTACTTGATCATGTTTTCTTTTAGATTCTTCACAAGTCATTTTTATATTTGTATATAGAACATTTATGTGGCTTCAGCATGTGATTCAGGGCCTGAGGATCAATTGCTTGATTAGAGCAAACATTTTAAATGACTAACAACTTAAATCAAAAGTATTTCTGTAATTGATGAAATGATCATGGGTAAACTAGAAACCTCTTCTGCAATTTGCTATAATGCCTCATACTAAAACAGGTTGCACTTTTCCCAGTTGGATGTTTGCATGGTTATCAGAATAGCCTTTTCTTAAAAGAAGCTATCTTACTGTCTTTTACCTACCCATCTTCCTCACTGAAGTCTCTTTAGAGATGCTGTCCAGTCTCCTCACATGGAGGAGACTGGACTCTCCAATACATGGAGTTGTCACTCATCTCCATGTATTCCTTCTGTGCCATGTGAATATGCCCAAATGAATAATTTAATTAATACTTTACTTAATCGAACCAAGAATGTGCCTATTTGGCGTCTTCGAGCTTGTATAGCTAACCTGTGACTTTACCCCTACACTAACGTAATCTGGAAAACCAGAGCAAAGTGAAATACTATTTTTCTGTTATGACTGATACATTGGAAGTGTTTTAACACCTGATTTTATAATTGTATAATTATCCAGTTCGCTTGTAGTATTTGGACCCATTTTCTACTGTTCTCTGTGGGCAAAATATTTTTGACATGAGCAAAACTTGGTATGCAGATATATATACTTTTTTTTTTTTTTTTTTTTTTTTTTTTTTTTTATAAAAAGGACTTTGGAACTGCATTGCATAAGACTTAATCCTACACCCATGCTCAGAATAACTATACTCTTCCTTTAGGACATGTTTCACATTCCTGCCGGCGTTCCTGATAACGGTGACAGTTCCAACTGGGTTATCGCAATACTCTTGAAGATGTTGTAACCCGTGTGAAACAAATTGTGTTTTTTCTTTCTTTTAAACCAATGGAATTGGCCTCATGTGACATGCAACCAATCGTATTAAGCACAAACTATCTGGGATAAAGTCTCAACCCGCCTTGTCAGTTGTCTCTTGCACAGGACTCATAAAGTTCCATAGGTGGGAGCAAACTTTCCTGTTTTACCTCGTCACATTATTTGACTTAAACTTTACCAAAAATGGTGAGTAGAAAAGTCTAATTGTTTTGCTAACTTCGACTTTTTTTATTTTAAAGTGGGTATTTACCCTTTTCCCAAGTTTGCCTGCATTTATATCTATAATTTCTAAATGGAACTTTCTTTTCATATACACCACGAATTCAACATGAGTATCAGTGAGCCATTCAGTCTATTGTCCCACATTACTCAGGGGTGTGTTTTAGGTATTTTGCGTGCATGTTGACCCATTTCAAAGAGGCAATTTGACTAAAGCGTTCCTCTTTGAACGGGTAGAGTGAGCTTTGCTTCTGCGGACCTGTTTCAGGAAAAACAATCTTTTTATTTTACCCTTCGGTTTTTGGCATCTTGAAATCTTAGGTTTTGTTGTCCTGTTACTTTTTTTGCCGGTGTCTTTAAAGGGTCGCTTGTGCGTAGCTTACTCAACCTTCAAACTTGAAAGTAAAATGTGGTCTTGAACAATTTGTCCTAAACCACATTAAATTCAGCTGTGAGGCTATTTTTTTTGTAAAGTTCAGTACAAAGACTTTCATGTCTGTGTGAAATGAATCAGGTGACTGTAGCCAAGATAATCTGGTTGTTCACAATAGTCTTTTTCATCTTGCATCTCTCATTAAGCCTTGAGCAATGACATGTGATCCTTGTTTGACTCGTTACTTAAATGGCTGTCCTCTCAGCCACCCATGTCCAATTTGTACTCGAGTGCGAGAAGAAATTTTTTTTATTTTTTTTCTTCTTTCCCTCTTCACAGCGTGAATGTATCTCAGTGCACGTTGGTCAGGCTGGTGTTCAGATTGGAAATGCCTGCTGGGAGCTCTACTGCCTGGAACATGGGATCCAGCCGGATGGACAGACGCCCAGTGGCAAAACCAGTGGAGGAGGAGATGATTCCTTCAACACCTTCTTCAGTGAGACTGGAGCTGGGAAGCACGTCCCCAGGGCAGTTTTCGTGGACCTGGAGCCAACTGTCATTGGTAAAAATATTCTCTTCTGTATGAGTGTACTGTATACTAGGCAAATTTTAGCAAACCTAATTCATCGCCTTCTTGGTTCCTCAGATGAAGTCCGCACTGGGACTTACCGCCAGCTGTTCCACCCTGAGCAGCTGATCACTGGCAAAGAGGATGCTGCTAACAACTATGCACGTGGGCATTACACCATTGGAAAAGAGATCATCGACCTGGTTCTGGACAGACTCCGCAAACTGGCGAGTAATTCAGAACACCTGTAATTGTGTGCAGATGAATATGAAATGACAGTGGGTTTTTTCCATCTTTTTCTTCTTTAGTCTGACCAGTGCACAGGCCTTCAAGGCTTCCTGGTCTTCCACAGCTTTGGTGGAGGCACTGGCTCAGGTTTCACCTCACTGCTGATGGAGCGCCTGTCTGTGGACTACGGCAAGAAGTCCAAGCTGGAGTTCTCCATCTACCCAGCCCCCCAGGTGTCCACTGCTGTGGTGGAGCCCTACAACTCCATCCTGACCACCCACACCACCCTGGAGCACTCAGACTGTGCCTTCATGGTGGACAACGAGGCCATCTATGACATCTGTCGTAGGAACCTCGACATCGAGCGTCCCACTTACACTAACTTGAACAGGCTGATCGGTCAGATTGTGTCCTCAATCACCGCCTCTCTTCGTTTTGATGGTGCCCTCAATGTTGATCTGACCGAGTTCCAGACCAACTTGGTGCCATATCCCCGTATCCACTTCCCTCTTGCAACCTATGCCCCCGTCATCTCTGCTGAGAAAGCTTACCATGAACAGCTTTCAGTGTCTGAGATCACAAATGCCTGCTTCGAGCCGGCCAATCAGATGGTGAAATGTGACCCTCGCCATGGCAAGTACATGGCTTGCTGCCTTTTGTACCGTGGTGATGTGGTGCCCAAAGATGTCAATGCTGCCATTGCCACCATCAAAACCAAGCGCACCATCCAGTTCGTGGATTGGTGTCCCACTGGTTTCAAGGTTGGCATCAACTACCAGCCACCCACTGTAGTTCCTGGTGGAGACCTGGCCAAGGTCCAGAGAGCTGTGTGCATGCTGAGTAACACCACTGCTATTGCAGAGGCCTGGGCTCGGCTGGACCACAAGTTTGACCTGATGTATGCTAAGCGTGCCTTTGTTCACTGGTATGTGGGTGAGGGTATGGAGGAGGGAGAGTTCTCTGAGGCCAGAGAGGACATGGCAGCTCTAGAGAAGGATTACGAAGAGGTTGGAGTCGACTCCATTGAAGGTGAGGGAGAGGAAGAAGGAGAAGAATATTAAAAGGGACACAGAAGTTAATCATGAAAGAATTGGTTGCAACTTTTTTCTTGAATGCATTCCAAACAGATATCTGTCCATCAATAACTGTAGTAGTTTGGTTGTTAAATTGAAACTACTGAAAATGTCAAGTTTGGCTTTCCTCTGAATAAAATCTCTGTGATTTTAAGTCGAGTTTTCTTGTTGTTCATTCAACAATATTTGTTTACTTAATGTGAGTATCCTTATGTATAAATTCTAATATTCAGAATATGAAGCTTTTGAGCTGCAGAAATTGACCCTATACTTGTTTGCTGTTCATGATTCAAGCCCCCTCTGCATTCCTTTAAATGAGCACTACGTGTTATAGCCTTCTCTCTGCCGTCTTTTTCCATGAATTGTAAATATAGTTTTTAGTACTGAGATGTTTAACAATATGTTGAAATTCCAGTTTTGTAACACTTCCGAAATCCGCATCTTTAAAATAATGAAATTATTAACCTATTATGCATGCCCCCTCTCCGTAATAGGGTAGTGGGGGGGCTGGATATTGGCCGAGAGGCACGTTACACCCTGGACAGGTCATCAGTATTTACGCAAATTAAATGCAGTATATCATAATTGCAATTTTTTTTACCATGATGTGGATCATAAGGTGATTTTTGTTGGCAAAGTTTATATGCACAAGCAAAGATTCTGACTTAATTTCCACTGCTGAGGTTCTGAGGGATATTTCATTCATGGTAATCCTCTGAACTAAACCACACGGTGTGGTAGCACATTGAAATAACAGTGCAACTCAGTCCAAAATGACTACCAGCAGATGGTGCACAAAGACCATAGTTTCAGCAGGATACTATTTGAGCCGTGGCAGTTAGCTACTGATACTGTTTGGACAAGTCTGGGCTCAGTGATAATTAATTGTGCTGTTGTAAGGTGACCACATTTTAGTTTAATAAAAATTGAATGAGCCTTTACGTTGTACAAAAGAAGTTGATCTTTCACTTTGAGCCACTGTCTTGTTTGTGGAGACTAGGACTTGAAAGTAAGCATTCACGCATCAAGTTAATACTCAATTAAATTTCATGACTTTGTCAAATTATGCATGGTGCCTACATACACACCAGAACCTCTCTGCTCTTGCATTTGCAGTTCAGATGTTTAGAGAGGCTGCATAGGCAAGATTTGCAGACACATATTATGCCAGGTCATAGAGGGGTTAATGCACAGGTCCATTTACTAAGCAGGTCAATGTTATTCTTGAGTTAAACAGAAAAAAGATTATAGCAGGTTGGTTTAAAGGTTCTGAGATTTCCGTAGATATTTTTGGTTTAGCATAAGGTGGAACCAGATGACTGCAATTTTTTCCAAATAACAATATTCTTTTAATCTTAACATCTACAGCATTGTCTCACAAAAAGATGGTTCCTCATTTGAATCTCTGCTATGTCGAGTTTACATATTTGCCACTTAAATGTTGTTGGGTAACCTCCATATTGTTGAAAATCTTGTATCTCACCCAAGGCGATTAAGTTTTCAGTTGAAACAATTAGATTGAGGCACGTGCAACATCTGAAAAGCATGCCTAATGGCCACCAAGATGTAGAGTCCATCCAATTTCCTAATGTAAGGCTTTCAGTTTAATAAAGGCCATATCCAAAAGTCAAGTAAAGTTGTGGGCATATTTATGCCTTTCTGTCTGGGTGTTCATCCAGCCGGCCAGGCTCAATGTCATGGATTACAATGGAGAATGGATTATAAGTGCATTAGCAGAAGGAAAGTGAGAATTTTGGGGTAGATTCACTCTCTTACAAGTCACAGTCATTCTTAAAGAAGGAGGACTTGCAAAAAGAAACGCTTCAAAGAGGTACATTCAAGGTACTAAATCACAACATACTCACTATAAACTAACCAAAATGGAACAATTGAAAGACTAACTAACATATAAAAACAAACCATCAAGGAGAATCACTATACAAACACACTATACAAACTATAAAAATTAAACTAGAGGCCAGGAAATTACAGAACAAAAAGTAACACATACACAGTGAAGTTCAAACTGTCTTGCAGAGCTTTGCGAACAAATCTTTGCTGCATTCGTTTGACTTTATGATTGTTTCACATTTGTTCTGTTGGGTTTTTATAGGCCTGTTGCTTTCCTGTGGAAGTCTATAATCAGGTATTGCTTTTTTTGTGTTGTCTGTTTCCCTGTCATTGAAGATTGGATAAACTCCATGTGGCAGAAAAAAAGACTGTTTGATGCAGGGGTCTCAAACTCCAGTCCTCGAGGGCCGCAGTCCTGCAGGTTTTAGATTTTTTCCTGCTTCCCGCACGCTTGATTCGGATTAAATTGGATCTCCTCTGGACATTGCTGAGCTTTGCTAATGGCTCTGTGATGTGAATCAGGTGTGTTGAATCAGGGAAACCTCTAAAACCTGCAGGACAGCAGCCCTCGAGGACTGGAGTTTGAGACCCCTGGTTAACGATTCTAGTAGGCATGATTTATATCAGCTTCAGCCATGGCATTTGAGTATTTTAAAAACTATTATTACCTCACAGTTTTGAAAGATGACCTAAGTCTATTATTACCCGTCCTGTGGGGACAAGGGTGCATAATACTTGTGTCTTTGGGTAAATAGACATTCAATATCATTTAACCCTAAAAGTTATATA